GGCCGGTATGGTTTCGAAGATTGCCCAGCTCTTGGTGGGTGCCATGACCCTTTTCAGTGCCAACATCAACCACGTCAACCTTGCCGGACTCGAAGTGGTGCGAATTCTTAAGGGCGTCGCCAACAACACCGGGGGCACCACCAATAACCATAACTTCAACCGCCGCCCGTCTACGTATTTCCGCGCGGTCCAGACATACCTGACCTGCGTCCAATACAGCAGGTACATGGCCGAACTAGCATACATGGTATTGATGTATGGACCCAAACCTGCGTCCTCGATAGCGCTCACGGAAATGCTTGACAAGTATACTGACGGCGAGGTTGTGTTGGAGGTCAATGCCCGCGACTACCACAAGTTGTCGGGCTACTCGCACTGTGTCAGCGCGGACGAGCGCACGCGGATCTTGGACCAGACGTTTACCGAGTCGTCCCTTCGCGACATTGACCAGCTCGTGCATTGGATCATGGACCACTGCATCAAAAGGGACTTTGACGAAAACCTTGCTGTGGCGGGGCATGAGCAGCACCAGCACCAGCATCAGCACCAGCACCAGCACCAGCCAGATCCAAGTAGTTGGGTCGACATTGAGGGCGACGCCATAGCCGCCGGCATATTGGATGAAGACGGCGACGACAACGAAGAGAACCCTGAGGTGTATTTGGAGGCCATGAATACAACAATGTCATCTGGGCCTGAAGCGTCTTTGGCAAGTTTGTACTATCCTCTCTATGGAGGCATTGCCGGCGATAATGACGAAGAGGAGGACGAAGAAGAAGAGGATACGTCGCCGTCAGCCGAGAATGCGTTTGTGGTGTATCTCGGCTATCTAGGGGCTAAGTATCCGACCAAGCAGTATTGCCGGTCGTTGAGCGGAATATGCTATGTGACCAAGATGTGCATTTTGTTGGATATCATCAAACGGGCGCGCACTCGCCGCGTGTCGCTTCGCCAGGCTGAAGATCCGTCCATTGTGGACACCGGTCTGTACCGCATATTGGCCCAGGTGCGCACCCATTATACGTATCTCGGGTTATCGTTGGCTCGGAGCGAGGGCAATCTCTTTCGCCTCAATTTTGCCACGGGAGACATCTTCAACAGCGACAACGTGGTTGTGGGCCACAAGAATATGATAAGCAAAATATTCGGCCGGTTGTACGATCTTGCACACGAAACCATTCAGGACTTGTCGAATGGCGAGGAGTTGGACTATTCGGTTGATAACGCCCGGCTCAGCGACGGTATGGTTTCGTTCACTGAATGCGTGAGAGTACCGCTGTATTCGCGATATAAGCACCGCTTGCTCTCGCTCCATAACAACAACATTGACCTGTTCCGGAAGGCGCACTCCAAATTGTCGCTTATCCTCATCACGCTCCTCCACATCCTGTGCTTGTCGGCACGTTCTACAGAGATCGACCGGTTATCGGTGGAGGGCACGTCCAAGGAATACCGCGGAGTGTACTTTCTTGGCCCCACGTTTGGCTTTTGCTACAACTATAACAAGTCGGCCAACGCCAAAGACCCCATCATCCGGGAAATCGGGCCTGAGTTGTCGTCGTTGTTTTTGTGGTATGTGCTCGTCTTCAGACGGATGTACGTCGAGCTGTCGCGCGTGGATAACAGCACCAAGTTGTACCAGTTTGACGGAATGCTGACGGACAAGATCCGATGGGGCATATCGCATTGGTTCACGTACGCCATGGATAACCAGCGCAAGTACAAGTTTTGCGAGGTGCGCCAGATCCTCAAGCGGTGCATCGAGTTCCATTATACCAAAACCGTCAGTGCAGATCTCGAGATGTACCGTCTGGTTTACGAGACCATTGCACGGACCCTGGGCCATTCAGTGGCCACGTCCACGGAGCATTACGGCACGATTGCCAATTATCCGCCCTCCGTCAACGCGGCCGACGTGCTCCGGTCCCGTCATTTGGGCCAGGTCTGGCATCGGCTGGGGTTGCGTCGGAAGTTTCTTAATTTCGAGGGTGAGGTTGTTGATCCTGTGCCTGATCCTGTTGATGTGGATGTGGATGTGGATGTGGATGCAGATGTGGCATCCGATCTTTCAATTGGCCCTGGTAGTCCTGTCTCTGAAGACGTTGAAGAGGTTGAACCTATACGCGGTGATATTGGCGGGAATCCTGTCTATGCTGATGATGAAGTTGATTCTATTTCAGATATGCTTATGGAGATTCCTCGCATATATTATAATAGGGCTGTAGGTTCTGCAGATCCCACCCCGGCTCCTTCTGCAGCTCCTCCATCCCCAGTGCCTTCTCGTTCACCATCCCCAGCTCCTGTTCCTGATCCTGTTCCTGATCCTGTTTCTGCTCCTGTTTCCGTTGAAGATGTTCCAGCAGCTCCTTCTCATCCTCCAGTTCGCTCTTCCCTGGCTCCCATCAGTGCCCCTCCAGTGTCTGTTTCTTGGAACAATTCCACCCTCTCCCCAAATCACGCTACGTCGTCCCCTTATGTTCACCAGCTCCCAGGCTATCGTCCTCCCTTCTCACCTCCCTACCACGCACCCGTTCCTCCATATTACGCTCCTGCTTCTTCTGAGTTCGCTTTACCTCCACAAGATGCATATCTAGGCGCGCCGCTATATGAAGCGCATGTGTCGCGGGAAGTGCTTCTGGAAGCGAGAAAACGCCATAGCCGAGAAAAACGGGAAAGAAAAGAGAGAAAAATGGAAAAGAAGAGGAAAGAGAAGGAAAAGATCAGTAAAAGAGAGGAAAATATCAGGAAAAGAGAGGAAAAGATTAGAAAAAGAGAGGAGAAAGAAAAGATAAGGAAAAGCGAGAAGCGAGAGAAAAAAGAAAGAAAACGGGAAGAGGAGAAAAGAGAAAAGGAAAGAGCGGCCCTAGCGTCCCCTGTCACGCCCGTAAAAACCCTAAAAGTCAAAGATGTCCATCTATATCTGTCTGCAACGAGAGGGCCGTTATACCGTAGCGAAAGCCCATCAGGGCCCTCAGGCCCGTCAGGAAGTCCTCGAGCCATGCCATCGGGTCCCCCAACGCCGAATCTGAGTGCCAGGCGGGTGTACCCTCTTATCTCTCAATCGAGCACGCAAAGGCTGGCCATTCCTGGGTCCTCTTCCCATCCATCGCGAGTGCAAAAGCCGCCTCCCAGCTCGCGCTCTTTAGGATCGCCGCCCTTGTTTCCCGAGACGCCACGCCGGTCCTTGCTTTCTCCCCAGCATCTCCGCCAAAGAATAACGGAGAGTTTGCAGGCATCGCCATTGGGAAGGTTCTTTGCGCCAGGTTCCCCCAAAAGTGGTTCTGCTCGGAAAGGGCCGAAGAGCCGAAGATCCTTAAGCAAGATTAAGCAAGATCCGGTGGTTATTTCTGATCTGGATGATCTGGGGCTGGAAGATCTGGGGCTGGATTATCTGGGGCTGGATGAAGATTAGTTAGAAATATATATATAATTGGAAAAATCCCAGAAAATTGATAAAATATATAGAAAATATAAAAAAAATTATTTGAGCCAGAAAAAAGGTGGCATAGCATAGAGAGGAGTATTTGTAGATGAAATGGGTTGTTTCCTCTTCGAATAGGCATCTATGGGGTGGTATATGGGTGGTTGAAAGTAGATTAAAATAGCAATGCTCATAACCCTGATCATGTGATGATAAGGGCTGATTAATCGATATCGTGAAATGCGAAAATCGAGATCGCGATAAAAGCGGAGCGTTGATTTATATGAATTATTTTTAGGTATAAGCAGTTTGAAGTGGGAATGAAGCGGTGAAGCGAATATAGTGTTAAAAGCGAATGAAAGCTGGGGCCAAGTAGCGTAAATTGAAGGAGAGAATGTCGTGGAGTTATTGAATTAAGAAGCCGGAAAATGATTAATCCGTTTAATTGTTTCGTTTTGAAGGGGAGAGGCGATGAGCTGGAGATATTATGGTAATGTTGGAGTTCTGGTTTGGATAAAGGTGTATCGGCAATGTGCTGGGCGTTGGCGTTATCGAGTAGGATGATTATTTCGGATAGAAAGGGTTTTGTCGTATGCCTTTAGAGTGGAATGCGATTATGAATAATCTTTTTATACCCTGCAAATGGGTGCGTCCTGGTAAATCCTATACAAAATGTGCACTCCGTGTTTTGTTTACTTTTACCGGGAGCCATGATGTCATGGCGCTTTTCTAAATCAAAACAAAAACATAATCATAATTGTTGTATTACATAAGAGACAATCATAGTATTATATAAAAAGAGAATAGCCTCACTTTTTCTTCATATGCAAACAGCAAATGGTCTACTAACCCCTCATCTCCCTTTTTAATCTATTCACAACCCATTCAGTCCACTCATTTTTAAAAGATCTCCTTCGGCTCAAACTGGACTTTGGGTTCAAAATCTTCTATTTCTCTGATGGAGGAAGGAAGATTAATAATGTCGTGCCACCGCTCGGACATCATTTGTTGTGCCTCAACAATACTGTTGTCATATTCTCTGCTGTTGGTCTTCTCATAACTATTGAGTGCAACTACAGGTCCATGCCCTGCTTGCATTTCTAAGAATTTATAGATAAATGTCGAACTTAATTTACTGGTGCTTGACACATTCTTCTTAACAAACTGCACCATGATCTGCCTCCAATCTCTTATTCCCAACCTTTTCTTGAAGAATATCGTACTCATTGACATGAAAAGAGCATACATATCTTCTTGTTGAACGATCCCGCTTCCAATATCAACAAATAAGTATCTAGTGCATCTTTCTTGTAACTTCTCCCATTTTTCTTTATTTCTGTCTATTTGCTTCAATTGTTCCATTACTTTGAGCTCATAATATCTAATATAATTAATGTAGAAGAAGACAACCTTAGAGACAATAATGGGATATCCTCTTGATATTAGTTTACTCTTGTTGCTAACATTATCTGTTTTGTTATAGGTATATGTGCACAACATTTTCCCTCCGCGGAAAAATATATTTCTCTTTACGTCATTGAATTGTAACACGAGAACCTCGGTCATTCTGAATGGAAGACCTCCTGTGAAGTACATCATTAAAATGATGATTTTATTTAGTTTAAAAAAATTGAAACAAAGAGCTTTTTTCAAATTATCAGGTGAATCAAAATTAACAAACGGAAGCTGTGTTCTGTAGGCGTGGAGAGGCATAAAACACGATGTTGCTGAATAAAATTCCAGATCGTAGTTTTCCTCAATAAAATCTAGCAAGTTGAACCCTGGTGATAATATTGGTGTTAATGTATTACAGAATCTTCTCACAAGAAAAATAACAAATTCCGGTATATCTGATAAATGAATTTCAGTGTCTCGGTATAACATGGTAGAGTATTTTCTTGTGAAGAATACATCATAGTAATTAGAAGCAATTGTTCTAAATTCAAAGAGTTTGCATTTCATGATTTTTAGAAGTTTATAAACAGTGGTGTAATCTTCACTAGCTTTGAAGCGGGCCTTGTATTCTTTTTCTAAATTCTTTTGATTTTCGTGACAGTAATTAATTAATTCTAATTTCATTACAAATTGTGTTGCATCAAATAAATGCTGAATGCCACTTTCATCACGTAAACTAAAATTCACTGGTTCGAGGTGATTAATCCACAATGCAACTATAAATGGTGAACTAACAAATTTAAATCCAACGGGATTTATTTTGGTGAAGATTAAGTGATTATCAACGTAGTTTGTTATCACTTCAATGCTATCAATAGACTCAATGTTTTCATCAATGTTTTGTAATTTGAAATAACCTAGTTCTTGTAGTTTGAACATTGTATACAAGATTTTAAATACTATATTTGTATACATTGTAACCGTTTGTTGCCGAACATTACGGAATTTTCTAAATAAACTGTGACCAACCTGGTGGTCTTTTTTAGCAAATTCACTAATTTTTCCCATCCGATCCACCAAAGCCTGTCTTAATTCGTGAACCGTTTCTGACTCTTGAGATAACTGTAATAATAGTGATCCGAAATCCTTTCGATACTTATCAAGTATATTTTCTTTAAAATTAACATCTTCCAAATACTTATTCCCCCCTAGAATATATTCAGTCAATTCCCTTGTTAGCTGGGGTTTATTTAATTTGTTAACAATTGAACTAGGTATGTCTGGAAATTCATGAGAACTGATTATTTTGATATATGACAGACTAATCTTATGGCCTTGGACAGTTACGAAATGACATCTGTTACTGCATACTTCCTTTGTGGATGGCTTAAAATGTTTAACATGATGCAATCGTTTTGAAAGCATCGAACAATCTGGACAATGTTTGAGGGTGTAAAGCGTTGCATGTTGAATTGGTCTTGTCAAGAAACCACTACGAACTCCAGTGTAATTCTTATCACCAATAATTTTCAGTATCCTGAGTCTAGTGGATTCATTCTTCAATACCCTTGTGGTCGAATTCAATTCTATATACCACTTATTTGATCTATGAATATCGAGTATAGATCCTGTATTGGATTTAACTACAATTTTAGCCCAGTTATCAAAGCGGTAACCATTAACGGCTAGTAATTCTTCTATTGCCTTTTCTTCATCCTCAGGAGATAGGTGTTCTGTGTATGTCCCCGTTTCTGTCCTTGGAGGTGGTGATATAGAATTTCTTCTATTTCTATTGACTAATTCCTTTACGGCTTTATCAGGCTCCTCGGCTGTTTGTATATTTTCGTAATCCAGGTTATTTTCATTTTCATTTTCTTGCATTTCTTCATATTCTTGCATTTCCTCCATTTCTATGTTGTTGTCGCTTTCATTTCCCACTTCATTTACGTTTGCAATGTTAGGCTGGCTATCAATATCTATCATATTGTTATACATATTATTATCTGCAGAAATGTGTGCTAATACCTCGGTCTTAAAATTTTCAGATTCAACGTCATATTCATTAGAAGAGTCATTCGAAGATGAGTCTGCAGCTATGGTAGCCTGGGAGTCCATAAGCATATTCTCGTTCTTCGCTCTAAAATTCCAACCTACTGTTCTTTCAGATACTAAATTCTCAATTCTACTATTATCGCCTTCTTTATCTCGACTATTGTCACTTATATTATCATCAATATGATGCCGTACTTCAAAATTTTGATCTGGCAATAAAGCTGGTTGCTCAATCTCTGGAGAAAGTATTTGAAACGCTCCTTTCAATTCTTTGTTATTATTCAATTCCTTGGTAATTTTCTTTTGTTTCCGCTTTCTGTGACGACATTTTCGACAAGTCTTCATCTGACTAGCCGTTTTCTTTTCTTTTCCACAACTACTGCATATCATCATGTTGATTCAAGTTATATTACACACTTTAACAAAATATAATATTTTTAGTTGAATTTTTTATTTGTTTTACCTTTCAAATATCTCGTTACCTGTTACAAAAAAAAAAAAAATAAACAATCGAAATTGAAGTTGTTTAATGAAAAAGCATTGTTAAGTAACTATCATGCGTGGCTGGTATATAGACATGTACAATGTCGTCCTAGTTCGATTCGTGGATGCGAGTTGGGCCTAAAACGAAGAACATTTCAATGCGGGTTATATATGAAAAAACTACACTGTTGACTTACACAAAAATATGCGCGACAATAGAAAACTGCAGTGTTGATAATTAGACTTCAATACGATTCACATTTCTTATATTGGACCTCATGGTCTGAGGCTGATATATAGCATATAAAAGGCCGAATACTACCCGAACACGAAAAAAAACAGTGGTAATGTAGAAATCTTGTTTTTGTCAAGTTGTAACCATTTCAAATCTCAGTTAATTTATAAATATATTCCATTATCTTCCAGATTGAACAAAAATAATAAAGTTGTTTTATTCCAATGAAATTTTCTCAAAATACTATATATTATATAAATTATTGAAATAAGGAGACTATCAGTTTATATCTCCAAAGTTAATGCTGTTATAAGTGTTGCAATTATCAGGTTAGTTTCTTGTTAAATCGCACACATAGACTAATAATAGGTGGGCGTGCACACAGTATACTCGCTTGTCTCTGAGTCGCTCACATATAACCTCAAAGTGTGCATATAAGGTTAATTTTCGTCGAACAAAAGTTGATGTGCTGTTCTTTAACAAAAAATAATTATTTATGTACCTAATCAAGCATGGAGCTGCATGGAATAAGAATTGTTGCCGTGGAAGATGTTTCAGTATTTATTTTTCGGGCCAAAATTATAAATCCCTTATCAAACAAATTCATTACTCAATTTTTACCTCAAATCATTCCCATCACTGAAGAAAGACAAGCAGTATTAGGCGAAATCAAAAACCATTTCAAATCTCATTCAAAAGAGCACTACTTGAGAAAACGTATTATACCCATTGGTGACTCAGAAATTCCTGAAGTCAAGGAGTGTAAGCTAAATATCTGTACCCTTTGTTTTGACCATTGTTCTAAGCGTCACATCAACGAGCATCTTAAAAAGGTTCATCATATATATAATAAGTTTCTCCAGCACACATTAGCTACACTGGGGTATGTGATTCCCAACCAGAACAGAACTATGTCCTATCTCTATCGCAAAACGGTATTTTCGGCTGAACCTATTGATATGCTTGACTTGGGTAGTTCCGTTCCCAAAGATAACAGTGAGGATAAGTTTTTGCGGTATATTCACGCCGAGGACTACGAAGGAAAGGGGTATGCCCAATATCTTGCAGGCGAGAACGAAATGGAAAGCGGTCCAGTTATTGCAGCGATCGAGACATATATGATGAAAAGAAGGGACCACATGAGAGCCAGCCACAGCATATTCAGTAAAATGAGTGCAATGAAAATATTGAAGCCAAAATACTTGTATCCGACAAGAGTGTTATATGCAAAGTTGGCCGGCCGGTTTTTCTATACGTTTGCAAAGTATAGCGGTAATGCCACAATCGAAGAGGTTATTCATAGACCAACGCCACTGCTGGTCGAACAAGCCATGCATATCATGATGCAGACCTACGTTCTAGTTGCCAGGGATCCAAGCGAGAAATTCTTGCAAGCCGTATTTATATCATTGATGGTTGCAGATGATACGTTTGCTGAATCAACTGTCCGAGCAAAAACATTCGACGCTATCAACTATTGTCTCAAGTTAGCCGCCTCTGATTATATGGCCGCCAACAACAATGTAACTGATGTTTTACTGGCATGGTACGAGACAGTGTACTCCGAGTTTGAGCACTACAGAAGTGTTCACCATAGGTTTAACATGACTATTCCAGCTTTTAAAACAAGAGTAGATGAAATGGATATCCGGAAAGCAACTATTGGGGCAGTCAAGTTTAGTATCGATGATCTCAGCAAGTTGGTTCGATGTTTAGTTAGAGACTACCACAGGCAGGTTGAAGCCTTACTTCCGAGAGGCGTAATTATGGTTGACGCCTTTTACGAAGAGTTCAAACGGAATGCGGCAGAGTTATTCAACTGTAAGGATAGAGGGTACAGTGTGTTTTTTGGAACACCAGCTATTAACGACAGAGCGGCCAAATGTCTATTTCGGTTTAGGGATGCCTTAGGAGAGCTCTGGGATAATGCTGAATACATGAAAATCATATTGAACAAATTAATGAAGTTGAATTTAAATATATTGATATGCATTATGATAACTTGCGGGAGTCCCTTTCGAATATCCGAGCTCTATACTTTGACTTTTGCCAATACCGTAAGTATGGCTCGGACGATGTATTTTTCAAACGGACTCATCCAATTGAATATACATTACAACAAAACTACCCACAACACGTTGAAGTATTCCAATCATACGAAGGTATTGCCAGAAGAGGTATCAAAGATTGTGATTCATTATGTTTCAGTGGTGAGATATTTGGAGATTGCCATTTCCGAGAGACATGGAACGGACGAGATATCAAGGAAATTCAGCGAACCCTCATACCTGGAGGACACAGACAATGACGAGTCGGATAAAGACAACAACGAAAAAAGTATAAATGCGATGGAGAATCAGTCAAGAAAGGCTATGTTTCGAACACTAGTATTCCTATCCCCATTAGGTTTGAGAAAAGGTGGACAGGCATTTGCATTTCTAGAACGAGTAAGCGAAAAGTATGTAGGTGAACGGTACACCTCACGACTTATGCGTCAAGCACTAGTACACTTCACGAGGTTGCTTTTAGCTGAGAGCAAATTTCGTGATACGGGATTTCTCCATCGTATAGATAGGCTCGCAGGTCATTCGACAACCACGGCCGATATGCAATATGGAGTGACACATACGAATTCGATGCTACCAAGCGTTCCTGTCAATAATATTGATATTCGTATTGCTTTGGAATGGCATAGAATATTAGGTTTAGGAGAAAAGGATGTAAAACCCCTTCAACAGAAAGAAAACCGGGTGTTATTGAAGGAGATTATGTCGCAGTATTATATTGGGCGCGAAGAAATATACGCCATAGGACAGCGTCTTTATAAAAATTTCAGTATTGGCACGTTGGAGCATTCGCATATGTTGTATGATGCATGTAATTCTGTGAGTGATATATTGGTAGTTAGTCCCACGGGGTCGGGGAAGAGCAATGCATTCAAATTTCCAATTTTGGCGGAAAAAAAGCTAAATCTTCCGTTCGTTAGCTTCATTATAAGTCCATTTATCGGTTTGCTTGAGGATATGAAAGAAAAGTTTTCTGATTTGCAAGAGCTAGCAGTAGAGATTTTTGACTCTGAAAAGGAATATGAGTATTATACTACGTGCGACGTTATCATCGTTCAGTTGGAAAAAGTGAAGGAGGCAGAGGGTCTAGTGCGGTATTTGCATCTGGAAAAAGTCTTCAAATATATCAGACGGTTGGTTTTAGACGAGGCGCATATTATAATGGAGCATAGACCATTTCGTGCGGCGAGCATCATGAAAATCGTAGAGATTTTTAGAAATGATATCCCCAAGCTATTTCTTTCTGCAACTTTTCCCAGACTGTTTGAATCCAGAATATGCAGAATGTTTGAAATAAAGGATTGGAGAGTTCATCGTGGGGAGACGATCCGTAGGAATATCGGCCATATTGTTGTGCATGACATGTTTGATGTGACGAGGGCGGTGAAGCAGATATACGAATCCGAAATAAAACCCAACCAAACGAAAGGAATTGTGTTTGTATATAAACGTAGTTTGGGGATAGAGTTGGCTCAGGATTTGAAGTGGTTGTTATTCCATGGAAATATGTTGTCAGAAGAAAAGGGCAAGGCGTATAGGGAATTTGCCAAGCTCGAAGAAGGTATGATAATTGCAACGTCTGCGTTTAGTCACGGAGTAGATTTAAGAGGAATCAGCCATGTAATAACGGTCGGCCAAATTATTAATATTATGGATTTCCAGCAAGTAGTGGGTCGTATGTGGCGGGGCGAGCCAGATAAGATTGGCCGATCATATATTTTGTTGCTGCCGGGCAAGAAGCATGAGTCTATAACGCCATCAGTATGTGTTAATGGAGCTTTGTCTAGTCATTTAGATGGAAAAGAAGAGGAGAATTGTAGGTCCCTAGGTTGTGTAAGCTGTTCTGTATGTGATGAGTCCAAAAGAATCGATGTTGGTGCTTTCACCCACGATTCATTAAATTCAGATGAAGAAATGGAAGTCGAAGTGATAGAAGTTGAGGATTCCGGGGCTGAATTATCTGAATTGCAAGTGAACTTTCGAGAGTGCCAGTTTAATATCCTCAAATTATATGGATTGATGCCTAAAAAAGAGCAGGTTGCCGATTCATTAGGAGTGTATACCAATGTATTCTTCTCGACGGTCATCAATCATGGCCTTATTATAGATTCAGCAGTTTGCCATGGTTGTCTATTATCTAATTTTCATGCTCATAGACTAGAACCGAGCCATAAATCGCTGAAATCTAATCAGTGTTCGTTGACGCCGCTTCTTCATGCCTTTGTCATATTTGTTCTATGCGAGAATGATAATGGAAAGGCCCATTTGGAAAGCATGATGATGTCACCCAATCTCAGTAGCATTGTGATCAGAGGATTTGAAGATCTTATCTTAGATCTGGGTGGAAAGTATGCAAATATGGCCAGAAGCTTGATGAGTGGTTCAGCTATTGAAAGAAATCATTTGAAATTTAGTTGGGAGAAAGTGCGTAAGGCCAGTGCTTATTTAAAGAATCCTTCAGCTGATGAGGTCCAATTAGTTTACGGATCAAATGAGGCGGTGTCCGAGCTTAGTAGAGTCACGCTTGACGCATTGGAAATAGCATGCCGATTTCGGTTTAAATCTATAAATGGGGATAAGGTGCGTGGTTTCTGTTATGGATGCTGGGGTCGGGTGTTTCATGAAGATCCAAATGATTGTCATAGAGGATTAATGGCAAGAATATTAATTCATTCTTATTATGAAGAGTTGCTGTTGAAAAAGTATTGTATTGAGAGATGCTTAAGGCTTGAGTATCCTAGTGTATGCCATCTAGTGGATCTTATGGCTTTCCGGGAAGAAGATAATTTGCCGCTATTCTATGATTATGTAGATTGGTTGTTGGGCCGAATGGAGGATAAGGGTGTATTGTGTCTGTGATATTTATATATTGTTTTGTCGGTAAGCGTTTAGATATTCGTTTTGTGTTTTAGTTAGGGAATTTGTGTAGTGATTAGAATATGAGCTAAAGCGTTGGCATGGCTCAAAATTTAAAATTAATCGAAATGCGAATTTTGGATAAATTGTAGAATAGAATATGGAAATATGATGGGATAAATGTTGAAAAAGTGGTCGGAGTGATTGAAAAAGCTTGTTTTAGCAATGAGAGGCCGAAATAAGTTAATAGATGGAGCGGTTGGAAGAAAGTAATATTTGCAGGATTATATAGTGTTGGTTAATTTTGAGAAAAAAGTGAAATCTAAAATGAGCAGTTTTTGTAAAGTAGGAGAAAATAGGATATAATTGGAGTATTTGGGGTAAGAGGAGTATTATATAGGAAGGAGAATGCCATATTCAATAGGGAGAAGATTTTATATTGAATAATTAGGATAAGTCGTGGTGATTTTGTGTAATAATAAGATAATAAGAAACGGAATTGAGAGCGAGAGTGAGAATTGTGAATATAATCAGGTGATATGAATCATGTGCGTATATAGCTGCGATATGAATGCGAAGCGAGAAGTAGCAGAAATGATATTGCGCGGGTAGAGCGATGTTTTAATTGAAATGTATTTAGGGCGTTGCGATGATGTCGATATGTTAATGGCGTCGTGATGAGGTGTAGGATAAATTATTGTTTAGGATTATTTTAATATTTGTAGTTGATGATTGAATCGATTGAAAAAGCGAAGAATTTGTAGAGAGTTGGTGGTAAGCCGTCGGGTGGGCGTTATGTTGGGAATATTTAAGCGTTAAGAGGATTAATTTTGGAGATTGATGGATTATTTAGGCGAGTTGAGCTAGTCGTATTGGCGTAGTGAAGAGAAGATGAATGATTATGGATGATAATCGGGGAATTAGAAGGAGAATGTATGATTTGGTTAGTTGATTGAGAAGTGATTAAGCCTTTTTTATGGAGAGATAATGAAAGGGGTTTTATAGTGGGATTATAAAGCGTTATTTAATTGAATGCATATAAATAAGGCGATGATTAGATTATTTGAAAGATGTAAGAATAGAAAGATAGCGGTTATCGTGAATAATTTTATTGGGATAAAAGATGTTAATGATTATTGAATTGTTGATATAAAAGAATTATGAAAGGAAGTAGAATATTAGGAGATGAAAATGAAGTGGTAATAAGTTATGAGTTAAATAATGAAGTATGAGATATGAGGGTGTTGGATTAAATGTATGAATTTTTAGATTATTGAATAGTTGATATGAGTTGAGATTTATGGTGTGGAATAAGAGGGGTTGATATCGTAGTGAGGGTTGAGAGATGTGAGAGATGTGATGAAAATATTGGTGTTTAGAGGGGGAATTTATATTGAAGGGTTGAGCTTATGAGCTTTATTAATAATGAGAGAAATATGGGCGTAAAGATATTAAAAAGGTGAATAATATATATAGTTGATGATATGATATATTTGGGAGAAATGAATGATTTATTTTAGGCAGATAAGGGATAATGAGTAAAATTGAATTAATAAAGAAGATTATTTAATAGAATTGGATATAGGTAATGAGATAATATGAGAATGTAGTGTAGGATGTTGAAAAATGGAAGTTTATCGATAATTATTGGTGATGGGGTGATAAGGTTGATTGTTTGGGAGGGGTGAGGGATGATAGTTGATAGAGAAGATATGAAGGGATTGAATATTTTAGGTGTGGATAATAATAAGGATGAGTAGATTATGTAAGAGGAATATATATTTAGAGAATAGAAGAGTAATATGAATGGGTTGTTGAGAGCTTAGTGAAGTAATAGGGCTTATTATTTTAATTTTATATTGATATTTATGGCGTTGTGATGGAGTTGGGTTATATTGATATTTATGGCGTTATGATGGAGTTGGGTTATATTGGAATATAAAAGATTAAGTATTGTTGATGAGGTTTAGTATTTGAAGAGAGTTGAAAGAATAAAGGAGGATATTAGGGTAAAGAAGGTTAATGGGAAGAAGAAGAAAATATTGGATTTTAAATTTGGCGTTATATAGTTTTGAGATTATAAATAGTAAGAGAGAAGTATTATATGAATATATATGCGGCGGAAGGTATAAAATTAAATAGTAATAGGATGAGATTATGGAGTTTTAAATTGGTGCGAAAATAGAGATGAAATTAGAAATGAATTGAGTGCGAAATTAAAGGAGATATGAGGGAAGAGTATGTAGATGGAATTGAAGGGTATGTTGATATTTGTTAATGTATATGAATTGGATAAAGAATGGATTTAGTTTATATTGAAGGGAGTTGAAATGGTTTATGATAAAGAATTGATTAGTAAATATTGGAGAGAGCTTTGAAATTGTTGGTTTAATAAGTTTAATGGATATATTGAATGAATTGAATGGTAAGCTTATAAGGTTAATTAAGTGTTTAAGAAGAGAAAATGTGTTAGGATATGTGTGAAGTAAGGAAATATTTTAAAAGGATTATATAAAGATAAAGGGGTTATATATTATTAAATGGGAATTGTATTGGAATTATTTTGTGAAATGTATTTGTGCGTTTTGTGTGATTTAGGAATTTATGATGATTAGAGCGAAAATATATAAAATATGAGAATAATTTTGAGAGTGCGATGATATTGAGAGGTTATATTGATGAGGGTATTGAGATTTAGGATTGATTTAAAATTTTGTGTTTTATAATTTAAGGAGAAGAAATGAAGCTAAGTATATTAAGGAATTAGAAATAATTTGGAGATATAAAATGTTTAGTTTTAGTGTAGGGGTTGATTTGGATGTAGATTATAAGAGGATATATGTATGAGTTAATATATGAGAGATAAAGAAATAAATGGAGGGTGGGATTTGAAGTTTTTAGTGGGGTATTATGTTGGGAGGGTTATGTTTTATTATGAAAAGATGGGAGATGGAAGAAAAATGTATTATGAGGATTTAGAAAGGAATAATTGAATATAGAATAGTAGAGAGGGAGAAGAAATGAGTATATTAATTGAAGATATTATTAAGAGGGTTAAGATGAAATTGATATAGGAAATTAGAGGTATTATAAAGAAGTGATGGTAATGTTTATATTTGAGTTATAATTAGTTGATTTGAATAGATAAGTGGTATGTAATAGAGAAAAGGAATGAAATAAGAAATGTATTTATAGGATGCTATATTGAAGAGAAGTTATAGATTGGTTGAATATAAGAATGGAGAGCGAGATGTTGATGAAAAGAGATATAAGAGGGTATTTTGTTAAGGGTAATTTAGAGAGAGATGAGTAATAGAAAAGTATATTTGGTATTATTGAAGAGATGGATGATATTTATTGAAAAGGGGAAGTTGTATTTTGAAGATTTGGAGGAAGTGAGAAGTTTAATTATGGTAATGCAGATTGGAAGTATTGGAATTTTGTTGGATTATGGAAAATATAAAAGGTATTGTAATGGGTGAATTGATAGTTATATATTTTGAGGAATGATGTGAGAATGGTTTGTTGGGGAGTATTAAAAGAGGATTAGAATGATTATTTTAAAGGGTGATGAAGGAAGGAAAGTATTATGAGAAGAGAGTAAATTATAAAATGAAATAGAATAAGATTATTTATAAGAATATATGAAAGGGCGTTATGATGAGTGGGAGAATAAGAGGATTTAAATTGAGAATTTGTAAAAATAGAAGGCGGTGGAGGAAAGACTAGAGAGGGGGTTTGATGAATAGAAATAATAATTAAGATGAAGAGAAGTATAATTTAGATAAAGTGGTTGATATTTTATAAAGGATGGTTAATTTGATTGAAAGGGTAATATTAGTATATTATGAGATGTTGATTTTGTAATATTTGATTAGAGAATTGAAATGAAGTAATATAGAATATTTGAAAGATAAATATTTTATGGATTATTTTGAGTTGATGGAGGGGTTTTGATGAAGAATGAAGGAAAAAGAGAATAAGAAAATAAAAAGGAATATGGTATTTATATGGAATGATAATTAAGGAAGAATTAAAAGATTAGAATATGAATTGAAGATGGAGCGAAAAGTGGATATTAAATATAGATATAGGTAGATATTTATGGGAGGAGATATAAAGGAAAAATTATATGGGAATTTAGATAGAGGGGGTATTATGATAGTAGGGTTAAGAAATAATATATGAGTAAGAATTTTGGATTGGAGAGGTAAATGAGAAGAGATAAATAGTAAATTGAATGGTAAGGAGAATATAAAGAGTTTTGATATATAATAGAAGGAAAATGTGGAATGGGATATGAATGGAATATGAATGGAATATGAATGGAATAAAGAAGTTATTATTATGATATTTTTTGATAAAATAGGTAAGGTTATGGTTATGAGATAAGGATGGGTATGTATAAGATTATATGAAGGAGATATGTGGGTTAATTTAGAAGAGGTTTTTATAATAAGAAATATATGAAGAGATGGAATGAGAGATGCGTAATATGTATTGTATGATAAAGGAGGTAATAAATATAGATTTATAGAAAGGAAAGGAAAGTAAATTGTTAAAGAATTGATATTTATTGGAGGGGTTAGAAAAGGAGGGGAGTTGTGTTGAAGGTATGAGTTATTTTATTTATAGTTTGAAATGGTTATTGGAGAGAATTGAATAGAGTTTATTATAAATGAAAGAAATGATTAATTTTAAGGAATTGAAGAAATTATAAGAGGGTGTTGTGATGAAGAAGTGTTATGAGGATTATATAAAGAGGGAGGGGAGGAATGAGAGGTATATTTAGGAGTAGATATTGAAGTATGTTATTTATTGAAAAGCGTATGATGGATAATATTGATTTGTGTTATGGTAATGGAGGAGGAATATATTTAAATTTTGTAGAGTGATTTGAGTATGAAAATAGAATTGTGGAATGGGATATGAATGGAATAAAGAAGTTATTATGATGATATGTTTTGATAAAATAGATAAGGTTGTGGTTATGAGATTAAGTA